GAACAACATGGGCTGGGTCATCATCCGAGACTGCTATAACATGAAATATATGGCAGAATGCGGGTAAAACAGAGCAGGGGACATACAATTCTCCCCCAAGGAGTTCAGTCACATATTTAATTAATGCATTATTTTTTAACGAGCGTCATCAGCATGGAAGCACGTCCTCTGGAATGGTGGCCAAAGCATGAAGGGGCATATGAATGTATAGCATATCTGGCACGTAAATACCTTGCAATGCCAGCTACAAAAGTGCCATGCAAATGCCTGTTCTCACTTTCTGGTGACATTGTAAATAAGAAGAAGGCAGCATTATCTCCTGTAAATGTGAACAAAATTGTTTGTCTTAGCGATTGGCTGAACAAGAAGTAGGACTGAGTGGACTTGTAGGCGCTGAAGTTTTACTTTGTTTTGGTTTTGAGTACAGTTATGTACAAACCCTACATTTGTTAGTTGCACTTTCACGACAAAGAGATTGCACTATAATACTTGTATGAGGTGAACTGAAAAATACTATTTCTTTTGTTTATCATTTTTAAAGTGCAAATATTTGTAATAAAAAATAATATACACTTTGATTTCAATTATAACACAGAATACAATATATATGAAAATGTAGAGAAACATCCCAAAAATTTAATAAATTTCAATTGGTATTCTATTGTATAACAGTGTGATTAAAACTGTGATTAATTGCGATTAAGTTTTTGAGTTAATCGTGTGAATTAACTGTGATTAATCGACAGCCCTAGTTTCCACTAGTCACTTTTGGAAGCAAAGGAAATGAAGGGCTAGGTACACAGAAGAGCTAGAGGAGGAAGCGGTGGTGTTTGTTCTCTTATAACCTTCAGCCCAGTGGCTCGGGCACCCTCCTGCGATGTGGGAGACTGATTTCAAATCCCTGCTCCACAACAGGCAGAGGCAGGAATTGAAGACAGGCCTCCCATGTCACAGGTAAGTGCTCTAGTCAACATCACCTCCTCCAGCCATTTTGTGAATGGTCCTAAGTCAGCCAAAAAAAAATTTGGCTGAAACTATTCAGCAAATCCATGCCAGATTCTTGACTAGTTTGCGGTCAAGCAAAACTGCATTTTTCGGCAAATAAATTATGCGTCTGAAAAATGTTGCCCAATTCTACTCTATAGCCCAAATCCTGCAAAAGGTTCTATGTGCATGCAGACTTCCTACATCTCTGCAGAGTTCTACTGAAGTCAGTGGGTCTTTCTGCAGCAGCAGGGATCTGAGTACATGGATCAGGTTGCAGTACTGAAGTCTCTCTCTCTCCCCCGCTCTATTCAGGGTGCTATATATGTGCTTTTTATTAACAGAACCACCACAAACGCTGCTGCTTTACTGGAAAGCCACTATCCAGTTTTGTACATCTAATTAGGATTGATTCTCAACTCCAGTTTTATGTGGGTGAACTCCACCAAGAGGAGAATCTGGCACATTACCTCTAAATTATAAGCCTGGAAATTAAGTATACCTCATATTTCTAGCTGTTTATTATTCTAAGAAAAACATTATACATTTTTCCATTAGAAGTCACAAAAATATTCTTTTCTAAACAAAATTGCTGAAAAACTCTGATATCTAACAAATGCTTTTTTGGAGCATACTGGAAGACTAACAAATGGGGTTGATTCTAGTACTATCATCTGAGAACAAAGAAGGAATAGCTCACTTATTTATAGTATTTCTAAACAAAACCCCCTAAATTTCCCCCCTAAAATCTCATCAGTAAGCCACATATTGTGAAAATAATTCAGTCTTCCTTTTAATAGGATGTTCATTATCTCTGTCAATCCATATGGCATTATCATTTCAAGACTCAATAGGTGGTACTCAACTGTATCTTCACATTATAAATTATCAATCACAGATAACAACATGCTTTAAATGTCAAATATTACAATCCTTCATTTTCTGCTAATCTACTTTTTAAAAAGTCTATGCTACAGCAGCATACTCATTGGTTTGGTCATTTTTTTCACTTTCTTGTGGGCTGGTGATAGTTACTCTTGGATTTGATGTTTTTTCCAGATGAGAGTCAATCTAGAGAAAAAAGGAACCAAAAATCGATATTTTAAGGTTGGCAGGTAATAGACTTCATTGCATGTCAACCAATATATAATTAAGTAGTCCACACTAGAATTTCTACTAAGAATTCTTCAAGTGAAAAAATATATACGAGCTAGTCACCAATATAACATTCTTGGGTAGCTTATACATGGGGTCCTCCCATTAGGTACGGATAAGTAGGAAAAAAGGTGAAAGTAGCAGAACCTTTGCTCAAATTAGAATATTTTTCCTGTTTATACCCCCATCTGAGCAAACATCCATTCTAAATTGAGCCTCCCAAAGATGTAGTCTCACTTTGTGACATAAACCCTCTCATAGTCTCAACACTGTTCCATCAACATATGAAGCACAGAAAATAATAAATCCTACTTCTGATGAGAATGTTGTTGCATATCTGTCTGGTAATCTTTATTTGAAAATGTCCTTGTGTGTCATACAAATGGCTCAGAATAAATCCCAAATTTAGAAATATGGCAGAGACTATCCTGAGCATCAATGGAGGTATAGGACCTTTCACTTCTTAATGGTATGCAATCAGAGAGCTGGCCCCAGTTGTCCTATCCCTGACACTGGGGAATCCAGTCAGGGAGTGCCATGTTAAGTTTACAATCCACGCACCGTGTAATCTCAGGAAATCTATCCACTGCTCAGGTTACCGAACACTTGGGGTAGTTCACACGTGACACAGACATTTCTGATTCCATTTCCTGCTGTTGAAGACCCTCTCCTATCAGCAAATGGAGGATACAGCATCAGGCACCTCTCCCTAAATTTGTGGCATGCCCCTCCTTGTCCTAAGGGACAAGACTTCTGTTTTAAAATCCCATGAAGAGAAATCCCCTGCCTTTAAGATTCTTGTTTATTTTAACAGTCCTTTTCTATCTGAAAATATAAATATTAAATAAATCAATAAGACTTCCATGAAATGAGGGCAGCAACACTTATTAAATACAACCTCTGTGCAGGGCAACTCAGCCAAACAAACAAGGCACTGGTTTCCTAAACCAGTCGACATGCTTGTGCACATCCCACTGTCCCCCTGCTATGTCCGACAGAGGAAGTGAAGAATGAAATATACAATCACCCATCTCTTCTCCTGAGAGTGCAGGAGTCTTGTATTTCTAGTACCCTGCCTACCCACAAAGGCAGGACAAAGACCTGTCAAAGTGAAGGAGCAACAAATACATTATTTGCCAGTTGGAAAAAGAATTCTGCAGTTGTAGCCAGAAGATGAGAGGGGTTGTAAATGAGGGGAAATAGCTTTCCTGAAAGTTGAAACTCCATGAGACTCCAAGGACATCATCGTGTTTGAGTTGGACTACATTTGCAGTACAGAAAGCTAGTGCTGGAATGAATGAGGCAATATCTATTTTTTTAAAAACAAAAAATTGAAAAAATAAGCTGTTACCTGGCTTTGATTGTCAAAGTTCTCTGGTGCTTTTGTTTCTTCTTCAGGATGAAGATCATTGTGGTCATTAAACTGCTCCATTTCCTCACCATTTTCTTCATTAGTTTCACCGTTTAAGTGGAAAGGCCCCTCTTTCTCCAGCTGTCCAAAATTCTCTTCTTCTTGCTCTTCATAATTCTCATTTATTTTCTCTTCATTTTCTTCTATCTCATTCTGGAGAACATTTCCATTAACGGCCTCCCCCATTTCCTCTCCCTGATCTCCATTCATTTCTCCCTCATCTCCCTCTTCTTCATTTTCTTCCTCATCTACTGTTTCTGCTGGCCTCTGATGAAAGCAAGAGCAGAGTTATGTCATTTTCAAACATCTTTAATCAAAACATCCCAAGCAATGTAATAATATGGTGGACCCCTTAGTCATAATTGTATCATCATAAAGGGATAGCTGTACTATTTTACACCAAGGAAATTATTTATATACATGGTCTATATATATTAGACAGATATAATGGATATAAATGGTCTAAATATATTATCAGCCCAAGAATCATGTGTCCCAGCCACTTCTCTCTAACTAAGGGCTAGACCAGTAGTTCTCAAACTTTTGTACTGGTGACCCCTTTCACATAGCAAGCCTCTGTGTGTGACCCCCCTTATAAATTAAAAACACTTTTTAACATATTTAACATCGTTATAAATGCTGGAGGCAAAGCGCGGTTTGGGGTGGAGGCTGACAGTTCGCGACCCCCCGTGTAATAACCTTGTGACCCCCTGAGAGGTCCTGACCCCCAGTTTGAGAACTCCTGGGCTAGACAATGCCACAGAGATCAGCAGGGGGAAGAAGGGGAAAAGTTCAGTTTGTTCACACCATGAGGAAGATGGCAGAAGGTATTGTGGGGGTGGGAAGGTATGAGGGACCAACCATTCCACAATCCCATATTCCCCGTTCTAGAGGGCTGAGGATTGGGATTTGCATGGTGAGAAGGAACAGTGAGTGGGACAGGCAGGGGCTGGGAAGCATACACATCACCCTCTCCTCAGCCTGTAGAGATTACTGAGGAAACAAAAACAGTCCGTGGCTGTGCTACCTCTTCCATGGCTCCACTTCCATTAAGGAGATAAGGAGGTAGACAGGAGTCCCAGAGCCATTGTGAAGGGACAGGGCCTCTGAACAGATGAGATCTACCTACTGCAGATGCCCCAGAGAACCTGAAAACAGAGGTACCATATAGCCTGTCCCAGACTGCTGGCAGATCTGGTTATGGTAACCACTGTACTGCACAGCTTTAAGTGGGGAACACTTAGTGTTTAATAGAGAGCATTCATTTACCTACATTTTCAAGATTTCATAAGAAATCTACTTCCAATTCACATGCTCCAAATTTGAAAACCAAAGGGCCCGATTTTCAGAAGTGCCCAGCACCCAACCACTCACACTGAGAATGGTGGGAGCTACTGGGTGCTAAGCACTGCTAAAAAGTCAATTTAGGTGCCTACACAGGAGCCGAGTTCTTCTGAAAACCCTGGCTCCAATTGTTCGTATTGAGAACTTTGGAAAAATCTGGTCCCACTGTTTTAAGTGTTATTTTGGCATAAACAAAATATAATTTTGTGCATATCAAATAAATTCTTCATTTAAACAAACACTCCCAATTTAGTAAGGGAGGATTGTGACACTCTGCACCACATATTCACCATAGTAATATGATTATGATATAATTATGTTGCATCTTGTACAATATATGTCATGTGAGGTGTCTATGGAAAAGTTATGGTTTGCTGAATATGATTATCTCATTTGTATTTGTATGACTGTATCGTTTTTGTATCTGGAGTTATGAATATTGACTATGTATTTGTATTTCAAATGTGTTTGCTCCTGGGTAAGACCCAAAAGTTCGTTTGCATTCAGGCTAGCCAGCACATCATGAATGGGCTATTCAAGTTGAATGGCCCATCAACAAAGACAATGGGCCATGGGGACGCTTCAGTCAGCCTATCGATAATAGCTGCCATGACTCATCGGAGCATGCAAGGGCTTGTCAATAAATCACATTATACTGAACTCCTTTTTGGTACCTGTATTTTTTCCATAAACTGGACTGGGAACTTGGCTTGGAACAAAGGGGTTCCCGCCCTATGGAAGAAGCTATAAAAGGGGAACAGGACATCACCAATGGGTCTCACTCCCCTCACAACAGAAAACCTGGAAACACCTTAGAAAAAGACTGAATTGGGGAAATGCTGGTCCCAGGCTGGAAAAAAGGATTCCTGCCTGTGTATGCAAAACCTAACCTACTTATACTAACTAACAGGGTGAGACACTGCTTGATTCAAATCCTATCTAGTGTATAAGACTTAGATTGTGATTTTGTTTATTTCTTAGGTAATCTTCTTTAATCTGTACGCTATTACATATAATCACTTAAAATCTAACTTTCTGTAGTTAATAAATCTGTTTTATATTTTTACCTAACAGAGTGTACTTTGGTTGAAGTGCAAAGGGAAATCTGCTCAGGAACAGGGGGCTGGTGCATTGTCCTCTTTACATTGAGGAAGGGGCGGATTGGGTAATAAATTCATATTGGTCAGGCTCAGAACGTTATAGCTCTGGGATCCTAGGCTGGGGAGCTGGGGGGTATTTTGGCTGGAGCCTTGCTATTGTTGGTTCATGAAAGTAGCTGGTAGAGCATTCATGAACATGGCTGGGTGTGGCCCCTGTCTATGGATGTTTGTGTGAGGGCAAGCTTGGAGGGCTTCGCAGCTTGTCACAATGTCACAATGTGAAAGGGAACCCAGATTGGTAAAACAGAGGGCTCAGTGGTACCCCAGTTCCAGGTTGCACCCCGGGGGAAAACCCATGACAGGGGTTTCTTATCAGGAGATGTCATGACCTGCCAGGTGGTCATGAAAGGAACAGGCAATCTGATTCATTGCAAGGACACTGGTTTCATGGGTCTTATTTATAATTCTTTGCATTGTATCACCTATAAAAAAGTCACCTTTCACCCTTTCCCACCAATACAAAAACCACTTTAAAGCAAAGCTCTCTCTTCCCTGACCCTTTCTGTGTTTGTGTGTAAACACACACAGGTCTCGTTTATATTCAGTATTAGCAATAGTGGGAAATTTCCCCAAAATGTTTCTTGTGTAGAAAGGTCACAAGGCAGAAGAACAGCACCTTGCCCTGGGCCCGAAGGAAGGACAAGCAAGTCCTCATTACTGATAAAGTAACACCATTTAATAAAAGAGTTTTAAAGATTGTATTTGCATCACCTTGCCATTCAATGAACTACAATGTTCCCACTGCAGAGCTGGCTTAGATATTTTTGTTTAGATTTTCATCCTTTATTTCCATTCAGATCTAGAGATGAGTGAAAGGGGTGACTGCCTCCCACTTCTTCCATTGAGCTTCATCAGAATCTAAAGCCAACTAGCACATTTCAAAAGATTCTCACTCAGCCAAGAATTTTTGGAATGTTATGGCCATTAGTGAATTGTTGAGATAAGATGATAACTGCCGCAGAATCTATTTTTAAAAAGCCATAGAAAAATCTATTAACCTTGCTGCTGACAACACTAACATGCCAAAAAAATGCTAAGCATGTATTAATAAAAGGCATTATAAGAATGTTATTAAATGATCAGTGGTCTCCTGATCCAAATGTTTTGCCTTTATATAGCTCCATAATACAATTATATTCCATTGACACCATATCATATAGGACATATCATTTTACTGCAATGAGCCACAGAATCTCTGGTAGCTGGTGATATTATATTGTAGCCTGACTAGCTAGACAAATATCAGAGGGGTAGCCGTGTTAGTCTGAATCTGTAAAAAGCAACAGAGGGTTCTGTTAGTCTTAAAGGTGCCACAGGACCCTCTGTTGCTTTTTAGCTAGACAAAGACTCAAAAGGGTGGCTTTTAAAGCACAATGATCTCAACATGTTCCTTACTCATATGTTCATGACTCTATTTTATCTGATAGCATCAAATTGTCCCTATAACTGCTAGCCATCCTACAGCAAAAAATCTTCGGGACCAGACTTCAGAGAGAAACTGCTGAACTTCAGTTCATTTGCAAATTTGACACCATCAGCTCAGGATTAAGCAAAGACTGTGAATGGCTAGCCAACTACAAAAGCAGTTTCTCCTCCCTTGGTGTTCACACCTCAACTGCTAGAAGAGGGCCTCACCCTCCCTGATTGAACTAACCTCGTTATCTCCAGACTGATTCTTGCCTGCATATTTATACCTGCCTCTGGAAGTTTCCATTACATGCGTCTGATGAAGTGGGTATTCACCCATGAAAGCTTATGCTCCAATACATCTGTTAGTCTATAAGGTGCCACAGGACTCTTTGTTGATTTTAACCAGTGGATCTCTAAATGATTTAGATCTTAGTCTACTTTAAACACTGTCTCTTCATAGGATATTGAGTGCATCTAACCGTTACAACTGCAGCAGTATCCTAGAGAGAGGATCCTAACAGACTAGGATGTAAATCATTTAGAGGCCCAGAGGTTAAAACTATTTAGGAGTTTAGAGGCTAAAGCAACACCTTGAACTCTGCCCAGAAACTTACTGAATGCCAGTGCAACACTCTCAGATACTTTCAATAGGTAACATTCAGGTGACATCTCATTTAGCCTGAACTATATTAGACATCTGAACTATATTGGTTAAGCATTGGAATGCTCCAAAACAAGGTAAGAAAAAACAAATCCCATCATTGTGAACAAAATATTTTAACAGTGACTGAAAGAATCTTAGGATATTTTTTAAAACTTAAGTACATTGCAGCATTCACTGTTACTACGAAGGACAAAAATATAGTTAGCCATGTTTACAGCAAACAACTGAAAAGTGATGTGCATTTATCATTTTTCAAGCTGGCAATACCTAATTAAGGATGTTTATAGTGTACATTTAATTTATTATCCCCAAAGGAAAGGGCCTTTTTTCTCATGCACTATTTATGCAAACTGACCTTAGTTCCATGCAAAGATGTACATAAGTCTAAAAAAGTGGTCCCCAAACTTTTTACCTCACACCCTCCCTTACCCCTGTCCGCCCCCCGCCCCCAGAGCCAAGGCCAGGAGTGGGGGACGTGGACTGGGATAAGGGGGCAGAGGCTAGGGCCACAGCTGGGGGCAGGAGAAGAGCTGGGTGGCACACTTTCCTGCCCCTCATGGGAGCTGGCCCAGGACCGAACCATTCTCCCCAAAATGTTCTTTGGCACCACCACCACCCCCAAGGAGGCGCACCCCACCTTTTGGGGACTTCTGCTGTAAAATATAAAGAACTACATATAAAATAGCTCT